CATTTTCTCTGGAAAATTCCATCTCCTCACCCTGCAGCCTCACAGCGGCCACCAGAAAGTGGAAAGCAGGGACCTGTGAGCCTCCAGGCCTTGCTCCCCAGAACTTCCACATAATCCTCTGCTTACTCGCCACTGGCTGACTGGCCACTGGGGACCCAGCAGGGACTCTGAGGCCTGAGGGGTGGCAGAGCCACTAGGGAGCAGAACCCTGGTTCTGAGTTTCCTGGGGCTTTGGAAATGGACCGACCAGGAGCACCAGCACCGGGGTGAGCCAGGCGCAAACTTCTACCGAGGTGGAGGAACTGGTGCTGCCACGTGGCCTGGCCCCTCCTGTCCAGGGCACCGCACCCGGAAAGGGCTTCTGTGTGGAGAGGACATGGTGGTAATGAGCGTTGTGGGGAAACCATCTAAGGACCCAGGTTCATTGACTCACGGTGGCTACTATCCCTGAAGAAGAGACATGACGGCCACGTCCATCCACCTGTGACAGCGACACCCTCCTGCCCCGCCCACTGCACCCGCCTGACACTTTGAATCCTTGCCCTCCAGCCTCTGGTGGGCTCCCGGTTTGGGACAATTTGAGAAGCAGAGCCAATTAATACCTGGCGTGTAGAGTGATTTTTTAAAAAATCCCAGTTCTATGATAGCATGACAGAGCTTTTTCGCAAATGAATTCTTTCAAACTCTTAAGGGCTGAGAATCCCCTTGTTGACACATGTGTGTGCGTGTGCTGTACACCAGTATGTACGGCTGTGTGGCTCATGTGTGGGCATGTGTGTGTGCACATGATGGACATGTTTGTGCAAGATGCACTTATGTGTCCTGTGGGTGGATGTGTAGGGCATGTGTGCACGTGGGATGTGTGTTTACACATGTAGTGCAGGTGTGAACACAGTGTGCATGTGTATGACACATGTGCATGCAGCTACGTGTGTGGAACACATGCCACCGTGAGCTACATACACATGTGTACTTGTGTGTGGTGTGTGTGTAATGTGCCCTTGGGTGGGTTTGATGTAAGGGTATTTGTGTGGTGTGTGCATTCATCTGAACATGCCTTGGGTGGTATCTGTGTTATCACACATGCACACCAACCACACCTGTGCACCAACACACACGTACATACAGACATGTACCTTGCACCCCCTGAACACACCGTGCACAGCCATGAATACCATGCACATGGAGAGGTACCCACCACACACGTATGCACACATGCTACTCACAAATACATGCATGCTACATGTATGCACCCCATCCCACACACGTGGGCACTTTACAAACCCCAGCCGCTCTCATGCTGTCCGCACATGCGCCATTTCACTCCACCTGTGCTGGGCGAGCGGGCAGGGCAGGCTGGGTGTGGGAGAGGGATGTCGAGGTGGTGTTTGGATAAGCATCATGCATGAGCCTCACCTTCAACCTGGCGACAACCAGCTCTGCTCCAGATTACAGAGGTCCTCACGCAGCCACTGTGGGGGTTCTTTGTCTCCAATTCTTCCAGGAGAATCCTCCAACATTCTTCAGGAGCTGCAGTCAGAGTGCCAAATGCCCTGGGAGTCCTGGGAATGGGGAAGCCTGGCGTGCTGGAGTCAAGTGTCAACCCCAACCTTGATCCCAACCCTGACCTCCACACTGACCCCAACCACGACTGTAACATTAACCCAGCTCTAACCACTGATGGGGCACAGTCCAGGTGTCACCTGCCCCAGGAAGCCTTCGAGACCCCGGCTGGATAGGACGCCCCTCTTCTGCATCTCTTGGCTCCCTTTTGGCAAGGTCCCGTAGTATTTTTAAGTTTATATGTTTATGGTTTAGAAAATAAGGTTATAGTTTATAATTAATTAGATATTACTGTTTTCTTTCCCAACCTCCTCAATGACCTTCAGCTCCCAGGGGCAGACTCTGCCTGACTCTGCCTGGCCTCCCCAGGGCTCAGCCCCTCGGTTTCATGTTCTTGCTGAATGAACAAGTTGAATTTTTGCATCTTGGGCTCTGTCTGCAAATCCACTGAACATCTGTCTGTGCCTTTTTACCCCAGGTGTGCTCCCTGCTAGGACTTCCGCATGTCTGCAGGGGAGATGTGGGTGGAGGAGTTTGAGAGGGACCTAGGGGGGAAGGGTGGTACTGGTTCCTGGACCAGCTCTGTGGACAATGGAGGGGGCTGCAGGCAGCAGTTGAAGGTTTTCACAATGTCGGGCCACTGCTCAAGGGTCCAGGCCATAGACTGGGCCTGGTGGATGGAGGGAACTGCAGCTGCAGGACTCTCGGGCCCATGGCAAGGCTGTGGGGTGCAGGCTTGGCAGATTCAGGCACAGAGACAGGGTGAGTGCATCCAGGGCAAAGACACCAGGGCTGCCTCTCTGGCTCCCTGGCGGAGGCCATCACTGCCGGATGAAATAGAAAGATGTGGATACCGACTGCCCTTGGGTGAGGCTTGGGTTGGTGTTCAGCGGCTGAAAGTCTTGCATTTGCAGTTGGGCCACAGCCAGTAAAAAAATCAATGGAATGTCACTGAGGTGGCCCTTCTGTGCCCACAACCTCAGCTGTCAGCTGAGGTGCGTTTCCCTAGAGACATGCAGAACCTGAGGGGGGATTCTGGCCAGGTGGTTTATTGAGTGGGGGCTTTCTGAGGGGTGTGGAGTGGTCAGGGCAGGCAGGAGTGAGCGAGGCCTATGGGCTGGAGATTTACCCACGCCTGATCTCCCGGGGAGATCTGGAACGCAGATGGGGCTTTTCCATGTTGGTCAACCAGCAGTGGGCAGCTCTGGGGGATGGGACCTAACCTCCCAAACAGGGGAATGACAGGGCAGGGTGGCAGCTGTGACTGAGAGCAGAGCAGCCACCACTCCCACGGTGGGGAATGGGATCTGGCCACTACAGGAGACCTGGGTGGGGCATAACCATGTCTGGAGACCAAACATATGTCCCCCCAAATTCATGTGTTGGAATCCTAAACCCAAAGTGATGGTATGTGGCAGCCGGTCCTTTGGAAGATGCTCAGGTCTTGAAGGTGGAGCCTTGATTATAGGGTTTCAGATCCTTTAAAAGAGACCCTAGAGAGCTCCCGTGGCTTTCTGCTATGGGAGGACATGGCAAGAAGACAGAGATCCGTGAACCAGGAAGGAGGCTCCCTCTGGACTCAGGAATGGCCAGCACCTTGATCTTGGATCTCCCAGCTCCACAGCTGTGAGAAAGACTCCTGTTGTTTATAAGCTGCCCAGCCTGTGGTGTTCTGTTACAGTAACCAATGGAAGAGGACAGTTGGTGTCCACTCCATGGCCTGTCACTCAGCCTTTTGCACCTGACCCACTGACTCTGTTCCCATTCTCTGGGGCCACACATCACACCTACGCCAGAGCCCCCTGATATCTGCGGGCAGCTGCTTAGACTCTGTGTGGGGGTTTTGGAGTAGCCTGGACAGTCAAGAGGCAGCTTGGGCAGTGGTCGCTTCCAGATGACTCTGAGCAGCTGGCGCGGTGGGTGATGGCATGGCAGGAGGGGCTCTCCCAGGAAGAAACCAATGACCTGTCATTCATTATTTCGGGCTGTCTGCGTGGATCTCAACAACGCTGTTCTCTCCATTGTGAAAGCGAGAGCGGAATATTAAACCACCCAAGCCGTCGCTGTGTTTCCGACAAGCTCCATGCAGGGGAGGAAATTGGAACCACATGAAATATTTACGCTCCATGTGGCGGAGCCGCTGCTGATGCGACAGGCAGCATGTTGTTTTGGTTTGTTTGGGGTTTGCTTTTTACCTTTTCCAAAGTGGATTACCATATGTCTTCCAGTGAGGACACTGCGCATGGTGAGACTGTCCCTCCGGGGCATCATCTGGAAGGAGGAGGCCACCATGATGGACAGGAAGAGGCCCTAAGAGCCCAACCTCTAGGTTGTGGGCCTGAGCCAGAGCAGGGAGCACCAGCTCCCACCTTGAGAGCTGTGTCACAGGGGGTGACAGCCTCAGCCTCCCAATCTGCACCCCCCAACCAGGCACGTGCTCTTCCCAGGTAGACTTAACCTAGTTACATCACTATTCCTTTTGGTTTTAAGGACTGCCCCCCCTCCATGTCTGCTGGGAAACCTGGTTTAAGGGGTCCTTGGCCTTGGTGCTGCCTGCATGCAGACAGTATTGAAGACCCCCACCCCCATTCCCACCACTCACCTCCATCACCTGCTCATGAGTGCCCTCCCCAGAGTGGACTGCACACCATAGCCCCACGCCGTGGGTCCGCACTGTTATTGTCTCACTAATTTTCTCCCTAGGCGTTATGTTGGCTCGCACACCACACAATCAGTTCTATTTGAAGACTTTTTCTTTTCCTTTCTTTGGTGGAAAAGAATCAATAGAGCTTTATAGATGCGAGGAAAGCGCTCAATCCTGAGCTACAGCCCCAGCCCCATACTGAATTCTTATTTAAAAAACCTGATTATACGAATGTTTCCTAAGAATGTACTTAAATGTGGGGTACTCTTTGGGGCAGCAGGAATTTGATGGACACTTTTCAGTTTCTGGAGGGGCAAGTTTTACATGGTAAGGCCTGTTTAGCTTCCCATGTAGCCGCACTGTTGGGTGTGATATCCCCCACACAGCCAACACATATTCATCCAGCATTTATTATGTGCCATGAACTGGGCTAAGTTTTGTATCTCCCTCCTATCATCCACATACAGAGCTGCTTTTCTCTTTCTTGGTTACTAGGGATTGGATCCAAGGGTGTTTTAACCCGGAGCCACATCCCCAGCCGTTTTTAATTTTGTGACAGGGTCTCACTAAGCTGCTGAGGCTGGCCTGGAACTTGCGATCCTCCTGCCTCAGTCTCCTGAGTCGCTAGGACTGCAGGCATGTGTCCTCACGCCCAGCCCAATGAGCTGCTAAGGGGCAGATAGAACTTTTACCAGAGTCTCTCCTCACAGGGCTCATTCCTGGCCAAGCCACCACCGAATGCCACCTCACAGGGGGCCCAGCCTGGCTTAACAAAGTGCAAGAAGACACAGACTTTTCTGCAACTTTTCAGAAGTTTTATTATAAAGAGAGTTTGAGAGAAGGACTGGGCACCAAGACAGACATTTGCCGGGCCAGGATACAGCTGCAAACGACGCCAAGAACCAAAACCAAAACCAAACCCCAAACCACGCACACGTTAGGATAAACTGCAACTTTGTTCTCAAGTTTTCTTCATAAATAGCTAGACAAAAAGAAATAAAATTGTTGCTGGCAATTTTAAATAGGTGGACATATGGTTTACAAAAAAATAAAGGGGAAATGCTTCCCGGTGGGGCTAGACGTTGTCCGGTTCTCGGGTGCGCATGGAGAGACCCTGTGCCAGCTGCTGTGTGCACGTCTCCCTCAAGAGAAAACTTAAAAACGATGCGCTAAGGGTCATATAAAACGCTTTGTACCTTAAAGGAAACTACTTTTCTTCCCCCACAAAATAATCTTACAGATGTCTTCAGCACAGTTCTAAAACACTTAGTTGACTACTTACACGGAGCCCACAGTTTGTGGGGCTCGGAATCTTTAGTTCACACTGGAAAACCTGCGCGTCTGTGGCTGGGCCGGCCCCTGGCCGCGCATCTTGGGGCGAGTTTCTGTTGGTCAGTGACCCCGGCAGGGTGGCCCAGTGAGCTTGGGCTGGGGCCAGACGTCCAGACAGAGGGGACTGTGTGCAGGGCGAGGAGCAGGGTCCGCGGTTACCCTGGAGCAAGCAGGTCAGCGGGCAGAAGGTTCCTGCAGGTTCTTCCGGCGGGCGCCGGGCAGCGGGCTGCCTCTGCAGAGTCTGGCGGGAGGTCGAGGAAGAGACTCAGCCCAGGGCAGAGGTGTGTCACTGCTATGCTGGCCGGTCACCCTGCCTCCTGCCACGGCCTCTCTGCTGTGGGCAGCCCTCCTGGCTCTGACATGCCCTTCCAGCCAGCCTCGGGGAGGGGAGGGAGGCGGGATTAGGTGAGGTAGAGCGATTTGTCCCTGGGGAGCAGGCTGTGGAGAGAGAGGGGCCATCAGAGCTGCTGGGCGCCCCCCTGGCGCTGTGACGCGGGCCAGGGAGCCCCAGGGCCCTGTGCTCTGGCCCTTCGCCCCTCACCCTGACCAGCTGCCCCTCTGAGGTCAAATTGGGGATGGCCAGGGTCCTCCTGGCTGTCCACCCAGTTGAACCAAAGGGCCCTCCTGGATCCTCCCCGGGGGGTGCCATCCTCAGCTCCAGGAAGAGGGCAGCGTGCGTCTGCCCTTCAAGGAAGCCCATCCCAAGGTCCTCAGGGCTCTCATGGCAGGTTGTGACCACCATGTTTCATTTGTACACTTCCAAACAGAAGCACAGGCGGCAGGTGGTTTTTATGGATTTAGAATAGGGACCAACATCCGTGCTGGGCACAGGGTGGGCCCGAGGAAGGCTGGGACAGGGTCACATCCCTGAAGGACCTCCTGCCCCTGGCACCCTGACATTGGGGAAGGGAACTGCGGTGAGGGGAAGGGGCTGATGAGAGGCGGTCTAGGGGAAGGGCGTCCTTGTGCAGCGGGTCTGCCACCCATGCAGAAGCTGTCGTGGCGTGTGTGGGGTCACTAGTGCCCGGCAGTATCCTGTGTGGCAAGAGCGATGCAGGGCTGGGGAGGCTGCTGCCTGGTGGCAGAGCTGGCCACCCCTCTACTAAGCACTAGTGCCCCACCTTTCACAGCGTGGGGCTCTGCAGGACATCTGCCCAGGCCACAGTCCCCCAGGACCTAAGGATTCGCTTTTGCCAAGGGCACGGGGACCGGCTGGCAGGGTGGGGGCTGGAGCTCCCCATCCTGTCCCGTCTTTCCCTCTTGCTGGCTAAAACCAAGTCCTCCTGCCTTAGAGTTGGTGTGGCCTGGCTCCAAGGGGGCTTTCTGGAGCAGGGGCAGTTAGCGAGGTGGACCAGAGAGAGCCGGGTGGTTCTGGGGAGAGGATGCTGCTGCAGGGCTGGGGGGCTTCTAAGGTGGGGGCTTCGTGGGTTGGACAGTTGGCCCTTTCTCCCAGGGGACCACATCTAGCTCCTGCACACCCCGACGTCCCCTTCTCTAGGGAATTGCCCATGGCGAAGAAGACCCGCCTTCCACGGGGGCCCCCTGGGGCCTGTGGGCAGCCCGTAGCCAATGGCTGACTGACAGGGGCTCTTGGTGGGACCTGCGTTGTGCCACCAATCCTGCTTCAGGGTTCCCATGGGATCAGGCCGTATGGAGTGTCCAGCTGAGGGCACGTCCTCGCAGGCCCCTTCCCCTGCCCCGTCTGGCCTTCCTCGCCCCCTTCTCCCACAAGCCCTCCAGGCATCTCCAAGGGCCACCTTAGACTCTGCTTCTAGGGAGCCTGGCCTAAGGCACGGGGCCTACCTGGGAATGTCATATGGAAGATTTTTTGGAAAAAACAGGACAGAAGGAATAAAGGTGGCCTTGGTGTGCCCAGCGGGCCGGGGCGCCAGGCTGGCTGAGTGCGCTGGACTCCTGCTTTGCTCTGCACTACCTGTAGGCTCCAAGCGTCCCCTGGGCAGGGCTGATGACACAGCTCCATGTTCTCCTGGGCCACTCCTCTGTCCCTGTTTCCATTCTCCCTGGGTGGGTGGACAAAGGCAGGACCCATGGAGGCTGATGGGGACTGACCTGCAGGTGCCGACGCCACACTCCCCGCTGGGGTAGCTGCTGTCCCAGTCCCCGCTGCTCGTGGAGTTGGATGGCCCAGGTGAGCGGGGTCCCGAGCCGCTGGGGAACTCAGAGATGTGCGGGAAGTCCTACGGGGGAAGGAGGGATGTGAGTGCAGAGAGGCCCAGGGGAGGCCTGACTCAGGAGGCCGGGGTGGTGCAGTCACCCTGTGTCTGAGGGCGTCCCCTCTGCAGAGACTCCTCCTGGGGCTCACAGGAGGTCCACTCTGCTCCCGTGGAGCACCTTTGGAAAAGTACCTCTGTCTTAGCTGAACCAGGGGGTGACTTTCCTATCCTGAGCCTCAGCTTCCCAATCTGTCAATGCAGGGACCGGGCTGAGCGTGGGCCTCGGAACAGGCTCTGGGGCACTCAGTGGGGCTCAGGCCTCGAGGGCTTGCAGGGCAGCCAGGGGCTGGGCCGATCTGGCAGAAGCAGCGGTGGCCTCAGCCCCTCAGGCCAGGAAGCTCAAGTGGACGGAGGGTGAGAGGGGCCCTGGGAGAGCCGAGGGATCTAACTGGCAATGTTCACTGCAGCCCCTGCCTTGCAGGCACGGCACAGGAGACCCATTTCAGATATGGGAAAACCGAGGCCAGTACTGGAATTCTGCAGCCACCTCCCCTCTCCTGAAGGGGTCACAGAAGACGGGGCCATACTCAGCCCTGCTTACCTGTGGCCCTGGAGGCGAGGGGCTCATGGCCAGCTGCACCTGGAGTGCCATGGGTGTGGGCAGGACGGGAGGCTGGGGGGCCGGGGACATGCTGACAGGTGGGCTGAGGAGGGCACCCTGTGCGTGGGGTGGCAGGGGCAGCTGCTGGTGCAGGGGGGGACTGAGCGGGAAGGAAGGCGGTGGCGGCGAGGACGCGCTGAGCCCGGGCAGCAGGGACTTAGAGCCCAGTGTCCTGGCGAGGCTGGCGGGAGAGGCCCCGCTCCGAAAGGCCTGCAGGTCAGAGGGCGTGAGGAAGGAGGCCAGGCCCGGCATGGGGTACATGGGCTGCTTGGGGGGCAGCAGCTTGGCGGGGGGGTTTGCCTGAGTGCTCTTGGTCTCGCCTTGGTCCGGGGGGCTCTGGAAGGAGAGGAAAACCAGTTACTTTGGAGAAGTGATGACAAGCCAGGACTTGGGCTGTGAGAACAGGGTGTCCTGGTTGGCCTTTGGGGAGAGCTGTGAGCTGTGGACTAGCCAGCCACAGCTTTGACCAGGCCACCTGCCACCTCCCCCACTTTTGTTTGGATGCTGGGGATTGAGCCAGATGGAGTTCAACAAGTACATCTCCAGCCCTTTTTAGTTTTTATTTAGAGACAGGTCTCACTAAGTTGTTTTTTAGGGCCTTGCTAAGTTGCTGAGGCTGGACTTGAACTTGGCAATCCTCTTGCCTCAGCCTCCTTGCCACCAGCTCCCGCCCACACTTTTATCCCTGCGTGGCCCCCCGCCCCTGGGGGAGTTCCATGGTCCTGGGTCTTGCAGCAAAGCCAGGGTTGTGGCAAGCATCCTCTGGCTATGCCCCTCCCCAGCCTCTATGCCCCTGTATGGGCCCCTCTCTCTGCTAGGCTCTGGCTGGACGAACTCAGCAGAACACGGTGCACATGAGGCGTGGGCCGGGTGCACCGCGGTGCACTACAGGTGTGACCTAGAGGTCTCACCCAGCCTTTCCAAGCCCCTAGAGCCGGCCGTTCCCATGGGCCCCAGTTCTGGTGCCATCCCTCTTCTCAGTTACCTAGGCATCCTGTTACCTTGGAGACAAGGCTAGCCCTGTAGGCTGCCAGAGCTTTCAGATACTCCTTCTTGGCTGCTTCAGTCTTCCTCTTGTAGGCCTGGAAAATCCAAGACATGGGCAACAACCGGGAGAATGTCACAGAGGGGTCACAATGCAGAGCCCAGAATGAGAAGGCGTGGATTCTAGGGCCATGTATGGATGAGGGCAGTGTGATCAGAAGATGGGTCAGTCACCCACTGGCCCCTCTCTGGGCTGCACAGAGAGTGTGGAGGACAGGGAAACATGCTTCACCTCTCTGGACATCAGTACCATTGGCTTCAGAAAGACGAAGCTTCTGGAACCCCTCTCTTCTGACCTAGCGTGATGCACATTTATTAATGTTGCATGCCGGCATGAACCCTGCTTGTTCAGTGTCTTAGTCTGGATTTATATTTGCTCATGTTGTTATCAGGAATTTTGGACCTAGGTTCACATGTAGTATTGTAGGCTTGGCCAGTGGTAATGCTCAGCTGATAGAGCACTGGCCTAGCATGTACGAGGACCTGGAGTCAATCCCCACCACTGAAACAAATAAATACAAATAAACAGGACAGTGTGGGAGGTCAGACTCTCAACAACCTTCGCTTGCCCCTGGGCTGCACTGGATGTGTCGGAGTAGTGGGCGGAGCCTTCAGAGACAGGGGACCTGAGATCCCTATCCCCCTAAGACTGCTCAAAAGGGAGAGGACACCCTCCCCCACACAAAGCGGCATCATAGGAAGGGAGACGCATGCCAGAGCGTGCCAAATGGAAACTATGGTCCCTATGGCAGAAGAGGGCAGGACCTGCCATGCCTCTGGTCCTCGGCACTGCAGAAAAGCCCAGTTAACGCCCAGCGCCACCAAGCATCCCCTGGCCCCAGGGTTCTCTAGCAGAAGGAGCCTCATCTGCCACTTGTGTGGAGGTGGTGGCTAGAGAGCTGGAGAGTCCTGTCCCCTGGAGCTGCCCTCACTCAGTGATTGACAGGCTGGCGCCCTGCAGCCTTGCGGCTAGCCAGTTCACCCTGCAGGTTCTATGCTGGCTTGAGTTCTGGGGCAGGACTGTGTTCCAGAACCACGGCGGGGAGGCCCGACAGGAGCCCTTTGTCACTGCCTTCCTTCCCTGTTTCACCTCCCAAATAAACTTCTGCCACTGCCCTGGCCTATAGCCCAAAGGTGTTTTAAATCTTAGAGTCTGATAGACAAAGCATTTCAAATAAATACATTGACTGTCTCTCTCTCCGGCCCAGGCTGCTGCTCCTCTCCCCATGTCCCCGTCTCAGCATATGGCGTCTCCACCCACCCAGAAAGCAGAACCGAATCTCCAAAATGAGTCCCCACAAAGCTCTGCATCCCCTGCCCCCCCCCCCCCATCTGCCTGGTCCCAGCCATTGTCATCTCCCACCTAGTTGACAGGGGCCTGCCATGTCCACGCTACCAGCCTTCATGAAGCCAGACAAGGACCGGATCCCTTCCCTGGCCCCGCCCACCTTCCAGCTCCGTCTCTGCATTTAGCCACCCTGGACTCCCAGGGCCAGGCACTTGCTGGACCAGGCTTTGTCAGCACGGCTTCCCCTGCCGGAAAGCTCCCCTGGCCAAGGGAGCCCACCCTTCAGGTCTCACCTGGCAACGTAGTCCCTGCCCCAGGACTAAGTCTGTTCCCTCCCTTTTTGCTCTCATGGACCCTCCTGGCATGTGACCCAGTCACCATTGTCATTTTACATTTACTTATCTGATTACTGGATTAATTGCTCTTAGGCCAACAACCCAACGGAGCCTCCTGGTTCTACAGACCTGAGTGCGAGTCCTGGCTCCAACCTGACTCAGGATGGTGCCCTGGGACAGGTCAGCCTCTGGTGTCTCCATCTCCTCATATCATAATAGGCAAGCGATGGCCACTCCATGGGGTGTTGCAAGGATGCAGTGAGGTCATGGTCACTCAGCCATGAGAGCTCAGCCCAGACATGCTCAGAGAATGGGAGCCATCTTCCTTGTTTTACAGCTCAGAGAGGTTAGGTAGTCACTCTGAGGTTGCATAGCTGGTAACTGCTCTGCACATAAGCTAGCTCTGTGTGCTGTTCCCCAGAGGCCTTTAGAGGGGGCCAGAGGTACATGGCTAGGGGTACAGGAAGCTCTGGCCTGGACTTCAGACTTGAGTTAAATGGCCAACTCTGACCATTTCATGGACAGGAAGTAGAATATAGAATGGTTAAATCATTGGTGAATGCAACCGCAAAATAGTAGAGCTGGAAGGGACCAAGCTTCCTGGCTTACAGATGGGCAAGCTGAGCCCAAGTGCCTTCTGCAGGAGCCTGTGGTCCCAAAGGCTGGTTCTGGCCTCACACCTTCAAAGTCTGCCCTGAGTGTGGCCCGGAAAGGGATGGAGGCTCACCTGCTTCTGCTCCTCTCCCAAACTGTCCCACATGGAGGCCACGATTTTGGACACATCTCCAAAGGTGGCACTGGGGTTCTGCCCCTTGATGGCAGCCTGAGTGTCTCTGAAGAAGAGTGCGTAGGCCGACACGGGCTTCTGTGGCTCATTGGGGTCCTTCTTCTTCTTTTTCTTTGGGTTCTTGGCCTTTTTTCCTGGGTCTGCAGAGGGTCTCTTCTCTCCTGAGATCTGCCCAGGTGACAGGAGTCAGGTTCACACCAGCTGAACCTCCTGCCCTCGGCCGCCCCACCCAGCTCCAGGGGCTGGACCCTGCTCAGCATCCCACCATGGGCCTGTCCAGCCTGGCTCACACCCGGGGAGAAAGAGACACACAGCCTGGGTAGGAGGCTGGGTATTGGTTTAACTCATCAAAGAGAACCAGGACAAGTGGAAAGTTGATTCGGAGAAATCTAGACGCCTCTGTGGTCCCAGAAAAATTGACAGCTGATCCAGGTGACTAAATCGCATGGGAAACTGGCTAGTGCCCTGTAGACTTTTAATCTTGATGGATTTTTAATCTCTTCTGTTGATCAGAAATCATTTGTGTCTTTATCAAGCTTTACAATTTTCTTTTTTTTTTTTTTTTTTGGTGCCAGGGGTTGACCCAGAGGCCTCATCCCCAGCCCTTTTTATTTTTTATTTTAAGACAGAGTCTTGCTAAGTTCCTTAGCACCTCGCTAAGTTGCTGAGGCTGGCTTTGAACTTGCGATCCTCCTGCCTCAGCCTCCTGAGCTGCTGGGATTGCCCACGGCACCTGCTTTTCTGTCCCTCCCCCCTCCCCCAAGTTAACGTCTTTCTTTGCAAAATTCCCTCATCAGCAACAAACAAGAGTCAAAGCAAAGACACATTCTGTTGGAGAAGCAGGGGTTCCTGAGTGGCCTGTTAGATCATGTTTGGGTCTGACCCTGTAAGGCTGTGGGGTCTTTGGGGCCATCTCTAAGTTTCAGATGTGTTTTTTCTTAACTGCTCTTCCTCTGCAGCTCCCTCCACCATGTGATTACAAACACTCTCCAAAGATTCCCTTGATCATAAAAGGTCAGTCCCCCCAACCTGTAGCTGCTGTGCAACTCTGGGCAGGTGGCTCTCCCCTGGCCCCCGTGAGTTGGTGGGAAGGGATGAAGCTCATGTGACATCATCAGACCAGCCCTGGAGCTGGGGACCATCGAGAGAGGCTGTAGGATCACAATCCCACTTAGGGTTTCCAGGATGGGGAGGGGGTTGAGATGCTCCCCACAGACCTAAGTGGATCAGTTAGGACCCTCAGGCCACACCAGGACAGGGGCCTTTGGTCCATGGTCCTGGCTCCTGCTGCAAAGTCTTTGACTCAGTGTGCCAAGAAGATGACAGTGACACCATGAGTAGGTAAGGAAACCAGAGGCCAGAGGATGAGACTCAGACCTCCATGTCTGAAGGACAGGGAGGGAAGGAACAGAACACCGCTTCTGTGCTGGAGTCCCCTCTGCAGCCACCCACCACGCCAAGCCTCAGTCCTTCAGCACTACGTGGAGAGGTCCTTGTGAGGAAGAAAGGCACAGGGCCATGGAGGCAGGCCGCTGGCTCATGGGAGATTCTGGATACAAACTCCTGCCTCTGACCTTTCTGGGCCTCTGTGCCCAGCAAAAAAAGAAGCTCTCTAATAGGGAGGAGCCTTGGGGTCCCTGCAAAGGACCAGGGCGTGGGCAGGTGGCGGCTCTCATCCCTGATATTTTGAAGAGGCCTACCACCTGTGGACTTTAGGGGTGCTGGGAGAGGGTGCACCCCCACACCATTTTCATGCCCCATCCCCAGTCAGTGTGGAATGCCCTAGGCCCAGAGGACCTCTGTTGGACTACACATTTTTGTCAGAATAAGTTTTTAAAGTGAGGGCTATGTTAATTAGCTTGATTCAGTCATTCCATGTCATATATCCACACGACTGTGCACCCCATAAAAATATACGATTAATATTTGTCCAAATATTTCAATGTTTTTGTGAGCAATATTTAACAACAAAAAGTTCTTTCAAAGGCCAAAGTGGCATGAGACCAGGCCCTGAGGCTCTTGCTGATGTCATCGATGCCACTGAAAAGACGCGCTGGCCATCAGGAATGAGACTTGGCCCTGTTTCCGTGACATCTCCTCCCGCCATCCTTCAACACGGTTAGAGGGGTCTCTGCTGCGTGTGTGAGGGTTGGGATTGAGGCTGAGCTTGCCAACAGTGCCCGGGAGATCTAGCACCTGAAGCCTGGTGTCCCTAGGTCCCCTGGGTGCTCCCTGATGACTAACTGCTCCTGCCCACCTGACCCATCTGCTCATCTCTTCCTCCTTGGTTTCCAGCAAAGGGCACGGCCCCCTTCCAGTCTTTTCCAGAGTGAAGTCCCCACAGGGCCCGTCCCCACAGATGGGAGGGCATCTGACAGCATTGCTGTCCACCCCGCGTACCTTGAAATGTGCTTCGGACTCCTCCTCCTGCGTGGAGCTGGAGGGAGAGGGGGTCGCCGACTTGCTCCCTGGGGGTGACGGGGAGCTGTGGGTGATGCTGCTCCGGATGCCCATCTGGGAGATGAGCTGGGACTGGCTGAGGGCGCTCATGTGGCTGGCCAGCATCGCGGGGCGACCCAGCAGAGGTCCCGGCCGGCTTGAGTCATAGGCAGCGACCTCCGAGTGCACCATCTCCTGGATCTAAGGACAGGGCATCTGTGTTAGAAGGACCTGGCCTGCGGCACCCTCACATCTGCCCCGCAGGACTCGGGGGGCATTCAGATGAGATGGTGGGGGTCCCAGCTCTGTGCTGAGGGGTAGTTCCGTTCTGCTTAGACCTCTGCATGATTTGGAGCACGTGTGGGGGAACGAGAGCTCCCTGGCAGCTGGCCATTTTGTAGACATTCACCCTGGACAGATAGCACTTGAGCCCTTGCCAGAGTGTTCCGCCCAGCTGTGAATGATCATTTTATGATATCGATCTTCCCTCCTGGAACACATCTCTGCATCAGTTCACTGTGCAACATAATAGCAAGGAGTGCAGATGTTGGATGCCATTGTATCAGCCTGGCCCTAGCCCTGACCAGCAGTTAAGTGACTTTGACCGACTAACTTAACCTCTCTGTGCCTCAGTTGTTTTCAACCGTACAATGAAGATAAAATCAAACCTACCTTCTCAGGTGGTTAAGGATCAAATATGTCTGGCATGTCATAAGCCCTGGGTTACAGAAGCATTTGTTCAATTCTTTGAATTAATAAATCTTGCGATAATGTTTAGCACTTTTCTTCCTATACCTCATTTTCCTATTAGCTTCATTTCTCGTGATATTTTCCAACTGGTTATTTTCAGAATTCAAGAAGCCACTGATGGTACATACGAGAATTTCTCAATACTAAACACAGATCGGCATATCCTCTCCCCCCATGCATAGTATATACACCTGCACTTCCGTGAAGCTGGCCAGTTCGCACACTCATAATTATGTTTATTTCCTCTGCATCTGTGATTGTTTCCTCTTTCTAGTTTCTAATGTTAAATATCCGCATTTTCTGTATTAGGCAAACTAAATGGGCTTTCAGTTTCAGGTATATTGTTCCCCCCTCAAAAGAACCAGATCTCAAATTCATCCCTCTGCTTCTCTGTCTTCTAATGAATGTTAATATTCAGTTTATCTTTATTAATCCCTCCATCTGCTTTTTAACAGCCTGTTAATTTAAAATCATCTATTCCCATTCTTTATTTTTAGTAATATGTTTAATGCTGTGAATTTTCCTCGGAGCATGGTTTTAACATCTCTCGCAGACTTCATCATGTAAGGATTGCGTTGTTGTTCTTTATTTTATGTACAGGTATTTATTTTTATGATTTTTTTCTTTGACTCAACAGTTGTTGAAGAAGAGTTCTGTGATGTCTAAGTGGTTTATTTCATTTTGCTTCTTTTCCTTTTGCTACTAATTAAGTGAATTGTTTGCCCTTTTGAGAATTTGTTAAGGTTTTACTTGGGATCCAAATACAGTGAAATTTCACACATGTCCCATAGTACTTGTAAGCTGAGCGTGGGCTATGTTGGCAGATGAACATAGCAGAATAACATTGCCTATTTGGTCAGCAGTGATTATTATTTAGACTCCTTTCTTACTTTTTGGCTCTAATCTGACACGGGCTTGCCTAGTTTGCCCCTGAGTTTTCTGCATTCATCAAAATCTCCCTTTAATATTTAAAGGTTTTGTTTTGGTAGAAGTTGGGTCTTATTGCAAGAAGACGGCTAATTGCATCTTCATTATGCATCAAATTTTTTATTATTATAATGTGTCTCATTTTTGGTCTCACTTTTTCCTTGAATTCAGCGGAGTCTGATATTGCTATTGCTGCCCTTGCCTATATATTCTGTGAATCTGGAATGTCTTTATTTATGAGAGAATGTCTTTTACATATCTCTTAGTTTTTATTTGTTAGGATTATCTGTATCATATGTTGGTGTTTGTATTTTGGTCAGCTTTAAAAAGAGAGCTGAGACAATATTTCCCTTTTTCTTTATACCTTGGAACAACATACAGCATAGATATTATATTTGCCGTAGAGAAACGTTAAGTGTTGTTTAGATATAAAACCATCTGAGGGGGGCTGGGTTGTGGTTCAGAAGTAGAGCACTTGCCTAGCATGTGTTGGGTGCTGGGTTCAATCCTCAGCACCAAATATAAATAAAATAAAGGGATTGTGTCCAACTACAACTAAAAGAATTTTAAAATATTAACAATATTAAAAGCCATGGGTGGCCCAGTGTTTTTGTTTGTGTGTTTTTGCAATATCTTCCATGAATAATAGGTCTATTCTAGTTTCCATTTTTTCTTGAGTCAGTTTTGGTAAGATATATGTGTGTGTGTGTGTGTGTACACACACACACACACATATATATCCAATATATAATTATCCATTTCATTCAGATTTTAACACTAGACTACTATATTTTTAGTCTACTTTATGGTTTTTGTAGTTAGATCCCTCAATATTACAATATTACAATTATAATTCTAAAGTATACTATTGTCAAGGCACACTGCTTTTTAAATTTTTCTTCTCGAAAGCTTGTATATCTTAACTGTCAATCAAAAGAACCAGTTCTTAATATTTAAAAAAATCAATTTGGCAACTTCTTGATCATTATCAGTTGGACTCTGTTTCCTCTCTGTTTGGATCTCAGGTGTCCTTTGCTATTCGTTTTTTATCTAGCTTTTTCAAATGAAGCAGTTTATTTCTTTGTCATTGTTTTTGTGGTACAGAGGCATCTGGGGCAGGGTTTCAAACAGGAACCAGGGTACCCCACAGGGGAGGCTGGACAATGTCTGCAGACACTTTTGGTTCTCACAACTGAGGCTGCTCCTGGCATCTAGTGGTGGTGGCCACGGATGCTGCTCCTCTCTAACCTGCCCCTGAACACAGAACTCTGCACCCCCAAATGTCAACAGCACTGAGGCAAGAAGCACCCCGCTCTCAGGCCATGTTTTTTCACATGAGGAAAAATTTAGCTGCATCATATCAATATTTTAAAAATATTCTACAACTGAAGAGTTGGTTTTCTTTTTCTTTTCTTTTTGTTCTAAGTTTATTTGGAAGAGTGTTTTTCATTTAATGTCTCCTTTTGTTATTGTGGTCAGAAAATGTGAATTTTAGAAATTTTATTTTATTTTTTGAAAACAGCTTCTATTACTGCTTAGAAGATGATCAATTTCTGTAAAAAATCATGCACATCTGAAATAATGTTCACTCAGTCACATACGAATTTCTCCGTATGCCTACTCAATGCAGTTTTGACTACTCTAGCTGTGAAATCTCAAGAAAAACGAGGTAAGGCCTACCATTCCCATTGTGTTCCCGTCAGTATCTCCACCGAATTTAAATAGGTTTTCTTCTTATATATTGATATAAAATTATTCATCCCTTTAATATATGAGAACATTGTGCCTTCGTTAAGGCTTCTCCTTGTTTATTAAAAAAAAAATCTTTGTCTCAATTCATCTTTGTCTTAAATCCCACTTTATCTGTTGTCATTACCACTCCCCACCCCCACCCCCCCCCACCACTGTTTTATTTTTGTCCTGCAGGATTTGAAGAGTGCCTTTGGTAAACAGCATCTTTCTTAAAACATTGTGTCATACATATTTTATTATCGACCATAAAAAGACCTGAAAGTCAGACTTTAAAGTGAACTGTTTTAAAAGGTAGAGGTTTTGAAATCTTCTTTCCTCCCTAACATGCAACGCACTTTTCCTTCCTTAAATCTTGTATAAGAGACTGGCATTACTTCCTCAAGGGAGGATTGGCAGTAGGGCTCTGTGGTAGGATTTGCTGTATTTTCTTCCAAGCCACATGCTTTAGAATTCTTCAGTGAGGTACTCCTGACTCTAATTTAATATCCTGCCAACTCTTGATAATGGCAGATTTTTGAATTTCTGCAAAACTGTTAAGGGTGAAATGCTCTTAAAGTCATTCCAATTTGCACTGTTCTGATTACGAGCGAGGCTGAACACCTTTTTATAAGTTTACTGGGCCATTTGGGTTTCTGCTTCTGCTGCTGTTTCGAGTGTAAAGTAGCAGAGTTCTCACTTCAGCAAACAATTTGACAGCATCCAGAATATCAAAGGCATACACATCTGCAACCTGGCAATTCCCCTCCAAGGTATAAAGAACTTTCCTACATGCACAAGAAGAGAAATACACTGGAGTAAACGTTGGGAAAGGCTTTGAAATGAGCAGATGAGTGTCCTTTCAAAGCACTGCAGGGCATTGTCTAGGGGACTTCTGGGGTCATCAGATTCTGTCAGAGTGCTGTCTTTGACTAGGCTATTTTACAATTTTGTCAGCTGTAGAAAAATGATATTAATGCAATTGGTTTTGTATTATTTAAACACATTTCAATTCTGGTGAAATGTGGATCACAAAATTTTCCATCTTAACCATTTTTAAGTACAGTTCAGTGGCATCAAATGCATTCAACCATCACCACCACAGAATTTTTTTCCTCTTGCAAAACCGAAAGTCTGTACCTGTTCAATAATAACTCCCCATTCCTCCCTTGTCCTGTCCCTCCAAGTCACTGTTCTGCTTTGTGTCTCTATAAATTGAGCACCCTAAGGGCCTCGTCTAAATGGAATCATATCATATTCGTTTTTTTTGTGTGTGTGTGTGACTCCTGTATTTCACTTGGCATGATGTCCTTAAGATTCACCTGCGATGAAATGTGAGTCCGAATTTCTTTTCCTTTTTTAAAAGTTGAATTATATGCCACTGTGTGCATATTCTCAGGAGTGGAACTGATAGATCATACAGTATTTCTAGTTTTAATTTTTGAGACATTGCTACACTGTTTTCCCTAGTAGCTGTCCTGTTTTACATTCCCACTATTAGAGTTTGGATATGGACGTCCTTCAAAGACTGATGGACTGAAGGCTTGGTCCTCAGTTGGTGGCACTCCTGGGAGGTGGTGGAAAGTTTTTTGCAGGGATAGGTGTCCTGGTTAGAAGAGATGGGTCACTGGGGGCCTTGCCTTTGGAGGGTATATTTTGTCCTTCTCCCCTTTACTCTCTCTCTCTTTTTCTCTCTCTCCTCTCTCTGCTTTTCTGGCTGCCATGCGGTGACAGCTGTGTCTCATGACACCCGCGATCACTCCCTTCCTCACCACAAGCCCACAGTGATGGGGCCA